GGGGGGGGCCCCCCACGACGGGGGGCCCCCAAAATTCAGATAAGGAGGGGGGCCCCCCAACAGCACAAATGGCAGCAGGGGCTGCAGCAGACACAAATGCAGCGGACGGCGACAGACAGCCTTTCGAGCACCAGCAGCAGCAGCAGCAGCAGCAGCAGCAGCAGCAGCAGGTCCAGCAGCAGCAGCAGTGCCCAGGGGCCCCTCTGGGGGGTTATTTGGGGGCACCATCCAGGCAGCCAGCAGCAGGGGGCCCCCCTTTCAGCAAATCCTCTTCAGCTCAGCAAGGCCCAGAAGGGACAGCAGCAGGGGCCCTGGGGGCCCCTGCAGCAGCAAAGGACTGCAGCAAGACAGGGGGCCCCACAGCAGGTCTTGGGGGGCCCCCAGTAGCTGCTGGGAGGCCCCCCAAATCCTGGGGGCCCCCAAGTGGAGCAAAGCCTTGCAGCAGATTGGCCCCCTTGAAGAGCTGCTTGAGCGTCGGCACGCGAGGGTCGCCTGCTGCAGCAGCAGCAGTAGCAGGGGGCGAGCAGCAGCAGCAAATAGGGGAGCAGCAGCGGCAGCAGCAGCAGCAGCAGAGGCGGCGCGTTGCTTTTGGGTCGCATGTTAGAGTGAGGCTGGTGGACAAGGAGCTGTCAACGATGGAGCAGCTTGGCGCTTTGCTGGGTATGCTGCTGCTGCTGCTGCTGCTGCTGCTTGTGCTGCTGCTGCTGCTGTTGCTGCTTGGCTACTGCTGCTGCTGCTACTGTTGCTGCTTGGCTGCTGCTGCTGCTGCTTCTGCTGGTGCTGCTCTTTGTTTCCCTGGTCAGCAGCTGGCGCCTCTTTGTCTTTAGAATATCCTGAAGGGTTTAAACGCATTTGCTGCTGCTGCGGTATCGCAGGGCCCACGTTTGGGGGCGGCTCGCCCAGATGTGCTGGAGCAGCAGGTGCTGCAGCAGGCAATGCAGCAGGCAATGCAGCAGCAGGTGCTGCAGCAGCAGGTGCTGCAGCAGCAGATGCCGCAGCAGCGGGTGCTGCAGCAGCAGCAGGTTCTGCAACAGCAGGTGCCGCGGCAGCGGGTGCTGCAGCAGCAGGTGCCGCAGCAGCAGGTGCTGCAGTAGCACGTGCCGCAGCGGCGGGTGCTGCAGCAGCGGGTGCTGCAGCAGCAGGCGCTGCAGCGGCGGGTGCTGCAGCAGCAGGTGCTGCAGCAGCAGGTGCCGGAGCAGCAGGTGCCGGAGCAGCAGGTGCTGCAGCAGCACCTAAAGTGGTGTGCTCTTTGGGGCCTCCATGGGGCCCAACAGCCTTATTGCCGCCTCCGAAGGCACCGGCATCAGCAGCAGCAGCAGCAGCAGACCAAGCAACAGACGCAGCAGCAGCAGCAGCGCCGGTGCAACGGGAGGATGCAGTAGCAGCACTAGCAGCAGCGGCAGAGCCACAAGTGCCTGCAGCAGCAGCAGCAACAGCAGCAGCAGCGGCGGCGGCACCG